AAGTAATTTTTCACACTTTGATACCCCCAAAATTTCAATCCAATTTTAATTTGATACCCTCAAAGTACATTTTAACATTTTGATACCCTGAGCTTATAATCAAAATATTTAAACTTAATTTAAGTACCAAAATATATTAAACTTATATAATATATATATATATATATATATATATATATATATATTATATATATATATATTATATATAAATATATATATATATTACTATATATCATATATAAATATATATATATATATATATATAGGGGAAAAGTGAATCTAAGGTGACACCCTAGGCTCCCTACCTAAGCGACGCGGCCTAAAATGAACGTCAATTCCGCTATATATTTTTTACGATCCGCTCCGCTTGAACTGATCTAATACGTTTCTTAAACTAAACACACCAATTTGGCGTGAAACGTTCGTGCTTGACCCTTTATCCAACTCGCTGTAATTTTAACAGTTTCGAATGAATAGAACTTTTGCACGGCTCAACGAATGGTCAAAAACCACAACGGGTTCATCCCAAATTGGTGTGTTTGGGTTTTAAGAAACATGTAGCATCAAATTCAACGGAGGCGGATCACAAAAAAATTTAGGAATAATGTGATTCTAGGCCGCATCCTTAGGTGGGAGCCTAGGGTGTACCTTCAAGATTTCACTTTTCTCTATCATATATATATGAGACTTAATGGGTATCCTGTCATAGGCAGGGCGATTTCCTCCTTGCACGCTCTAAAATCACATGATTGATGCGATATTGTGGATCGATCCGCTCCGTGAACTTGACTCTACATATTCTAAAACCCACAACACACCAGTTTGGGCGTGAAATCCGCGTCGTTGACCCTCCATCGAGCCATGTGAAAAGTTCATTAGTCATTCAAAACCGTTAATAATTTGATACAAGTGGCATAAAGGTCAAACGACGACAGGTTCACCCCAAACTTGGGTAAGTTTGGGGTTTAGAATATGTAGATCAGCGTTAACGAAAGGGCGATCATCCACAATGTCGCCTCAATCATTGTTGATTTTGAGCCGTCAATGCAGGAAAATCCCGTCGCTATGACAATGTACCCATTAAATCTCTCTCTGCCTCTGTCTCTCTCTCTCTCTCTCTATAAATATATATATATATATATATATATATATATAATATATATATATTATATATATATATAATATATATATATATATACATATATATATTATATTATATATAATATATATATATATATATATATATATATATATACTATATATATATATAATATATAAGTGCTTTTTGCCACGATATATTTAAACACTCATAAAACTTAGCTATCCATCTAAATGCAAGTATTTTAAATATCTAACCTTTTAAGTACAAGACTTTTTTGTGAAATTATTACTTTTTTCATTTTTTGTATCAAAAGATTTATGAGTTTATTTATAAATTGATATATTGTTTTGAACCTGTAAAGCAAATGTTGGTTGCAACTCGGCAACATTAATTTTAGATAGTTTTTATTTCTAATAAAAACTTATTGTTTAATTACCAAAAAACAAAAACAAAAAGGTTTTCCTTTGACAAATTGAAACTTAATACATATTGTATAGATATTAAATAACATATAAATCAGAGTATTCTTTTAAATGAAAATGCATTTTATAAATTAATTCCTTGTTGGTGTTCTCTAAAAGAGTAAACCATACGCCTCGTTTGGTACGTGAGAATGAAGTCAAGTGGGAATGGAATGGAAGAATGAATGGAATGGAATGTATGTGAGAATGGAATGATCATTCCCATTCTCTTGTTTTGGTACGTTTGTAGAATGAAGCTAGAATAAAAATCTAATTCTCATTCTCATGTTTGGTATCACTAGTTCACAAGTGAGAATGAAATCTCATTTTCTAATAATGCCCTTATAACAACATAGATTTTTAATAAGATAAATATAAACAATGATAATAACTAAAAAAATTATTTATGCATATGTTATATTAATCTAGGTATGTGTTATACTAATGCGCATGTTATCAATCAGGTGTATATTTTGTTTATATTTTTTAAACAATTCTCACTATTTCTGCATATGTTATATTAATCTAGGTATGTGTTATAATAATGCCCTTATACCTCTATATATAGTCTAGACATGATATGGTTTTGATAATTTTAATATTTTGGCCAATTCTCAGCGAGAGTTTCCTCTTTTCATAAATATCGGGTCAAATATTTTTCAATCAAAAGTTAGGTTTATTGTTGTGTATGAACCACAATCAAACATGTACGCTATAGGTACATATAGTTCTCTATGGTGGAAAAACAATAGCAAAAGTTCAAAAAGAATATAATATGCTGGTGAAAATAACAAACTTTAAACATTGGTGAATAAAAAAAATTGATTGACCAAAAAAAATATTGACATGAAAGAAATTTAATCGGCAAATATATATAGTTTCAGTTGTATCTGTTTTTATATTAAATTGTGTTGCTCATATGTTGAGCAATTGTGATATAATAAGCTAATGAAATATGTACCGCTAGTTTTAATATGCTACTGAAATATGTACCACTAGTTTTAATCCCTATCCCGCAAAAAACTCCTATTGTTCGAATATAATTAGTAGCTGAGAGAAAATGAGAATGCGTAGTCAAAAGCCATGATTTTTAAATTGATTCTTATTATTAATAGGGGTATAATTGGAAAAAACCTAACTAGTTTGATTCTCCCCTTGAATGGGAATGATTATTCCCTATCTTCTCACTTGGAATGCACATTCCCACAAAAAGTGGGAATGGTTATTCCAACATCTAAAAACAAGTTTTGTTTGGTATGAGGGAATGAGAAGTGAGAATGACATTCCATTCCACCCCATTCCCGCGTACCAAATGGGGCCTAAGACCATAGAATGCAATTCATAGGCAGCTTACCAACTACACTAGAGCATCTTAGTTGATAAGAGTCTATTTGAATCTAAGGATATTATTATAGGAAACCATAAACCTACTTCTTTGAGTAACTAAGGAGGAATACACTATTATGGTTTATTTTTATTTTTATTTTTTGATGTTAGTCACTTAATTAAAACTAGTTCTTATGCACGTGCAAAATGCACGTGGTTAAATATCACAATAATTTTTTGTTTATTTTCTTACTATAAAATAAGTCAGATTAATTTTGAATTAAAATCTATAAACATGGATTATTACATTTGCCATAAAATTTATTTAAACATTTTAAAAAAATTATGAAATAGATGATTAATTTTGAAATTTTTTTGGGGTTAGGAATAAACAACTAACAAGTTTGTAGTGGAAGTTAGGGGAACGTAGTACATTCTTAAGAATTATTAATCTTTACTTAGTTTATTTATAATGATATGATCTCATTATTAACTAACTACAAGGCCTACTACTTTTTTTTTGTTGGGCCCATGTGAGTCCTCATTGCAATCAATGTTATACAATTTAAGTACAAAGGAAAATGGTGAGTTGATCAATGGTGTGGTTGGTGAAGGGAAACTCTAGCAGCTTAATTTGGTATGTGGATATATTATAGATGAAGATGGAGAATGGTTGTTTTGGAAATAGTGGGTGCGTGTGGGTAATTAATATGGTTTTTTATTTGTGTGATTTTTTTCGTTTATTTTTAAGATATCTCTAGTACTGTGGATATATATAGCTATAGCATTGTTACTTTCTTTTGATTTTGTTGAAGAGTTTGGGTGTTAAAAAAAATTAAATTATCTAATCCGGTTATAGTAGGATCATATAAGTTAAGCCTATACATGAAATTTATTTTAACCAACACCCATGTTTAAATATTATAATTGGCATTGAGATCTAAAATATGTGTGAGATTCTCTTTGATTTTTATACAAACAATATCTGTTTAAATAATAATAATACAATTAAACTTTGTGATCTGAAAAAAAGATCAAACATACAATATAAGTAATTACTTTAAAATAATCTAATCTAATCTATAGACAAAAAAATAATATGAAAATTATTGCAATTTTATAATTTATAATTTTTAAAATCTAATCTAATAAGAAGAAAATAACAAATGCATATACTTGTTAAAAGAGATAAAAATACTATGAAAATTATTATAATTTTTAATCCTGAAAAAAAGATCAAACATACAATATAATATATTACTTTTAATTAATCTAATCTAATCTAATAGGAAGAAAATAGATGCAAACGCTATGAAAATTATTGATATTTCTTAATATAAAAAAATATCAAATATACAATATAAATAATTACTTTAAAATAATCTAATCTAATCTAATAAGAAGAAAATAACAAAGGCATATATCTGTAGAAGGAGATGAAAGTGCTATGGAAATTGTTATAATTTTTTGGCTTATATACATTTGCATGTGATGTTGTTTGTGAGAGGATAACAATTGTAAATAGAGTTCTATTTAAATAATAAGAGTATAATTAAACTTTAAAACTAATTATGCAGTACCGTGAACTATTTGAATTTTAGTTGGTGAGAGATCGCCACGTTGTATTCTCATATCGTAGCTGTTTGTTTTAATATTTTTTTTATAATTTTGAAAACTATTTTGTCTATTTAATTTATTTGGTGGATTTTGCAAATACATCCACATTATGTACATTTGCAGGTCTGCGCTGTTCCTGGGTTCGACCTCTGGGACGGACATTATTTGTCTCACTAATTTTTTTATTTTTGCATATACGCCCTTCATCTTTTATACATTTATAAATTTGACATTTAATAATTTCATTCAAGTTTACATTTTTATTTAAACTATATCCGTATCTTCATACTATGTATATCCAATAAGAATTCATCAATTTATCAACTCACTCTTACTTAATGAATTAATATTTAAATTTGAAAGGTATTTTCGTTTACCGAAAGATTTTTCCAAACTTTGGTGCTTTTAAAGAGAGTATGACAATATATGTTAAATTAGTCTCTCAAATCACTGACCCATCTTAAGCCCGGCCCATTTTAACATGAACCCTAAACCCTCTATTCATCTCCTATTCGTCTCGATAAACATTCTCTTCCCCAGGACCAAAACCCTGATTCCCACCTTCAATGGCTTCTCCCTGTCTTCGGTCTATGAACCGCACCTCCATCTCTTCTTTCAAATCCTTCATCACGAAATCCAAGCTTCCATCATCCACCCGATCGCAGTCCTTCGCCTCTCGATTCATCTCCAGGTCATAAAAATTCATAGTAACTTCTCATTTCGCTGCAATTTCATTTTATTTTCTCAAATAATTTTGAAAAAAGTGAAAGCTTTTTGTTTTTAGGTCTCCTGTTGAATTGGGATGCGTCAGTGGATCTCTGTTCCCAAGCCAATCAGCCGTGCCTATGTCTGGGCTGGCTTCGCCTATGATCTTGACGTCAAGAAGCTTTAGCTCTCTCTCACAGGGTATATATACACTCTCAGACTATTGAAAAGTCTTTCAGATTTATCTAATTCCTTATCAAATTAGGAGTTGTTCAGAATATGCTTTTTTGTCAAGTTTCTTTGTGTTGTTAGTTATAAATATTGAGTAGCCTAATTATCCTCTTGTGCTATATGTATGCGTTTGACAGTTGAGGGTGTTATGTGTAATGTGCAAGTCTTTGAATTTTAACTTGCTTGAAAGCTAATTTGCTTGTATCCTTTCTCTTGTAAGATAGTTGATGGCGTATGACTGTTGATTGCATGTGCTACTGAGACTTTGAGAGTCCATTAGAACAAACAAAGCTGGAATAGAAAGATCCAATGCTATATTAATTTTTTAGATTAATCTTAGTTGTTTTTTTCTATATTAAATGAACTTTTATTTCGATTAAATCAAATCAGCAAAAGCAACTTGAGCTACATTCTCAGGATAGTAATCAAACCATACACATGGGTATATCAAGTGAAAATCCATGTTTGGCTAAAAATGAGCCAGATTGTTGCCCTCTCTTTGGATGAAGGTGGCGTGCATCCTCAAACACCAGCAAATCTTCTTTGATTGTATCGATTGCATGTCCATAATAGGAGGGGTTTCGATTCTCCTTCAGGGTTTCATTGACCACTTCCAAGGCATTTGATCCCACCACGATTCGATGGTAACCGTGAGCTCTTGCAAGTCGGATTTCCTATAAAATTCCCATGTCCTCCAATAGTTGAACTCTTCCATACCTGTAAGTCATCCTCCACTAGCAAGCATTATATTAGCCACTGAATTTCTAATCACCACTCCATAGTTAGCAATTCTATCTTCATCATTCAGTGCCACATTGGTATTAATCTTCATAAAATTCAATGGAGGGGGTTGCAATTTCATCTTTGCTCTTGTGGAGTTACACTTGTAGCACATTTTCTATTTGCCTCTTCAAAAGCTTGTTGTACCTCTAATGCTATTGTAACTATTTCTCGGCCATCTGTCAAGTTATCCTGCACTCTTCTCAAATTTCTAGAATACTATATAGCCCAAAGAATAATAAGGATTTTTTTCAATAATTCCACCCACTATTAAATTCCACTTGACCAATCCAATCTAAAGTTGAGAAAAATTATGACATTTGAAATCTTCCAAGATAGCTGCAAGGCCTCCCACATGCCTCGTCCATGCACAATAAAAAAGGATATGACGCCAGTTCTCAACCTCCCTTTCACACATAAATCCTGCCTTATAAATTTGCATCCTGTGCCTATTGAAATTGTCGATTGTTAGCAAAATAGTGTGAGCCCATCTCCATGCAAAAATTCGAACCATCAGAGGAATATCAAGTGACCTAAACTTCTTCCAGAAGGACTAGTTTGTTGAATCGTTGATTGTAAATTTGTTCTAGGAGCGTCAATATCTTCGACCTCGAGAGCCACATGGTATGTCGATTTTGTAGAGAAAGTCTCCTTGGGGGTTGCCTCGTAAATAAGTCTTATCATTTGATTTACACTTTACCAATGGAATTGATAATTTTGTCTTTGCCTCACTTTGTTGAAACATATCACTAATAAGCTCGCTATCCCACCTTCCATATTCTTCATCAATCAATGTTAAGACTCTTAACATCTTCATAGCCAACAGGGCATTCAGATTCAATAATTTTCCTTGGCATACCTGGTACCCAAGGCTCCCCCCATGTACGAATCGATTTACTGTTGGCTACTCTCTAAATAGCTTCTTTGGAAATTATTCTCCTCGCGGACAGAATACTTTTCCAAGTGATGGAAGCATTTCTCGAACATACAACATTCATGAAAGTTATTTCTTTAAATTTCTTGGATTTTAAAATTGTGCAAGCTAATGAATCAGTATGTCTCACGAGCCTCCAACATTGTTTCGATAGCCTTGCTAAGTTGAGAGCATGGAGACTGAGGCCCGTTCCTCTAAACTTCTTCGCATTGCATAATTTTAGTCAAATCTTCTAATGGAACCGTCGTTCCTCCTCTCATTGTCCCCACCAAAACCTGCCCATTATTGCATTTAAATCATTCGTTAAACCTCGTGGCAGGAGAAAACAACTCATCATGTACACCGAAATTGATTGTGCTATTGCTTTTATGAGGACCTACTTTCCTACATTTGATAGTAATTTTCTTTCCACTTGTTAACCATTTTCCATATTTTATCTCTTAAGTGATCAAATGACCTTCGATGAACCACTCAAGAACAACGTTAACCCCAAATACTTATCGCTGATCATTGACCTACAGATGCCTTAACAACTTTTAACTCTTTCTTTCTGTCATTATTCACATTCTTACCAAAAGATAGCAGATTTAATAACATTTCTCATTTGTCCTGATGCTTGCTCATACACCGTCAATACCTTCATTAGTTTGTCACAATTGTCCTTCGATGCGCGTACAAAAAGCAAACTGTTGTCCTCAAAGAAAAGATGTGATACACTTGAACTGTTACGATGTATACGAACATCCTGAATCTCACTACAATCTTATGCATTTTCGAGCAATGATGATACCCTTCCACACAAAAGAGACAATGATACGTGGTTAGCAGGTCTCCTTTGCGCAAACCTCTTGCTAGAACTATATTGCCGCTACATTTCCCATTAATAAGGACCGAGTAAGATATCAGTGTTATGCATGCCATTATCAATTGAGCCCCCCCTCGAATCAAGACCCAATTTCAGAATGATGACTTCCAAAAAATCCCATTCGACTCTATAGTATGCCCTTGCTCATGCCGAGTTTCAATGCTATAGAGCCTAATTTGACGTTGCGCCTATTATTCATATAATGGAGACATTCAAAAGCAACTAGCACATTATCAATAGTTAGCCATCTTGGGACAGAAGCACTTTGTGAATGAGAAATATTCTAGGAAAGGATACACTTCAATCTATTAATCAACACCTTCGAAATAATTTTATAATACACGTTGCCATTCACATCTCTTCTCACTTATTTTCTGGCCAACATGTCCAACACCCACCTTGTTCCACTGGTGCAGATTTCTTTCACATTCTTTTAGCTTGTGTACAACCTTCTTTAGAGACTCGTTTCCCCCTTCCATAACCCAAGCATCCACCACTTTCCTACAATCCTCTCTTGCCCACATGGCTTCAAACTTGAAGCTTCTTTTCCTTCTCCTACATTAGAAGGATGAACTCAATTGAAGCTTAATTAGTCTGTTGTATCATACTGCACCATCTTGCGTTAGCTAGGAATCGGTCCAACCTTTCATGAGTTCCATCCTCTCTTGCTGAATCCCTATACCATGTGATCATCCCATCATTGAAACCAAGATCAGCACAAATTGCACTCGTCGATCTCACCTCAAAAATCTGCCATTTGTGTTACAATCTCATTGAAATCTCCTCCTACAATCTTAGTTGTTCTTATTAGTAAAATAAGTTTTTTTCCCATTACACACCCCTCAAACCATAGTTATTTTTAAAAGGGTCAACTTCACAAAACCCCTTTAAATTTGGTCATCTTTGAGATAACCCCCTAACTACTTTAATAGGTATCAAACCCCCTTAACTTTAAAAGGTATTTGAGATAACCCCTCTGAACTTGTTCTGTTGCACTAAACTTATGGAAGATTGTTCACTTTAACCCCCTTAATTGACACTCTCAAATTTAACTTCTTATGTTCCAAGCACATGATAGAAATGAAAAAAATACCACTAAGATCTAAAAATAATATTGGAAATAATAAAAAAGGAAAAAGAGTGTTTTATGAGTGACGAGTATTTTCTTCATTTTTGGTCAAATGCTTGACATATGACACATTAGACTTTATGGTGTTACTTTTGAGAATTTAAGTGAAAACTCTTCAGAAAGTTTAGTGGAATAATAATATTGGAAATAATAAAAAAAGGAAAAAGAGTGTTTTATGAGTGACAAGTATTTTCTTCATTTTTGGTCAAATGCTTGACATATGACACATTAGACTTTATGGTGTTACTTTTGAGAATTTAAGTGAAAACTCTTCAGAAAGTTTAGTGGAATAGAATTTCAGGGGGTTATAGGAAAAACCTTCAAGTTAATGGGTTTTGTAGCTATTAAAATATCTAAGGGGGTTATCTCAAAATGGTCGAACTTAAGGGGGGGGGGGATTTAATGAAGTTTACCCTTAAAATTACCCTCTATATTGTTGTAATAACCAAGGTTTTAAGTATCGATTGTCGGGGATTTATCGGACGGTCAAAATCCTTATCGGATAGCAAAAATCGGGGATATATCGGGGATAAGTAGTATTTATCGGAGTAATATATTAGATGATGTATATATATAATATAATATAATAACTAAAAAATGTAATCTAACCATGCTTAATGAAATATAAACACCAAAACAGAAAAGCAAAGTATGTACAGTTTATTCACTAATTTCTTATATAAGTCCCTGTTACAGGAAAAACAATAAAACAAAGTATGATAAAAGAATAGTTATATAACTGATATTACTCAAAAGAGAAAGTGCGTGCGTGAAGGAATTACAAGAGAAGAAAAGCTCACAGCATGTGTATATAGCCATGTTTCTAGACAAAAAACACATGGTTGACAGAGGATAGGCGAGCGACGAAGTTCAAGATTGAAGTTCAAGAAGGCGAGCGATGAAGAGGCGCAGAGAACATGAGATGGAGATAACGGAGGAAGCGCCATACGAGAAAAGGAGCAGCCGTTAGAGACGAAGTTAGAGTTTGAAGGTCGGATTCACAAAGTTTTGGGTTTTAAGTTTCATATTATTAACAAAACGGGTCGAGTCGGGTTTTAAAAACTCAACAACTCAACTCAAAATGCCTGGCCGATAATCCCGATAATTTAGCCTTACTTATCGGCCGATAAGTGCCGATAACTCGCCGATAATCTCCCCAAAACGATAACCGATTACAAAACCAACTTATCCTAGAGAAAAGCTCAAAAATCCGATAACTCGGCCGATAATATCGATTATCGGCCGATATTTAAAACAATGGT